ATGCAAACGCCTATTTGCACCTGTCTCAATTTACTCGTGGATTGCACTTGAATATCGTTCGTGTTGCTCCCCGTCTCAAAGTTGATTTTCTAGACGTACGTTCCGACGTATTTCGTTCCACCGCTTCTATGTGTACGTATGTGTGTATATGCGAGATAGGTGGATGCAAAAAATTTCCACAAAATACATTCTACGCCCCCTGTATACTTAAACTGGAACTTGAATATATCTCTTTTGTATTATCTCTAATTGTAAGTTGACTTTAGACTATTTACCTAATTTTTTTTATAGCTATAAGTATATATATATATATATATATATATATATATATATATTATTAGTATATATATATATTAATAATATAAAAGTGGGTCAGATATTTTCATCCTCCAATTAGACTTCTCTTTAGATCATATGTTTATTTTAATTGTGTCGTAAATTTAGATATAATTTACTTTAAGTTGTATTGAGTCCATCATCCTTTATTCTTATTAAATTATTTATAAATCACACTTTACTATGATTGATATTCCAATGTGTACATATTTTTTATTCATTTTGCGATATTTTAACAATATGTATCGAGAATCGAATGGAATTGATTTGCAAAAACCGATTTATCATTATCACTTTTCACGTTAAACTTGTACATTTCGAGATAAATAAAATTGTGTTTTGATAAGTCGAAAATTTCTCTAGTGTAAATTTTTTGATATCATAAAAAAGAGAATACAAAAAGATTAGCCGATCGATACTGCTCGGATATTAAAACGCAAGTGATTGAAGATTCATAAATATTGGCGGAGAAATCTTTGCATCGCGCTTCATTCGAACCAATATTCCGCATCGACGAGGTGATGTCGGGTGAATCCTTATTGCTCGTTTGAGCATCGATCGGGCGCACCTTACGGAGATCGTAAAGTGTACGTTTCGCATCGAAATCCCAATGGGAAATCCTCCCCTTCCTTTAGTCACCTTTGTGATATCGGCACCGATACTCTTGATCAGTGTCGAAAGAAGTGCTCTCTAAAATGACTGGCGGAGGAGAGGAGGAAAAAGTACGAGCGAATCGTGAGTGGTTGCCAAATGTCAAGGCAGAATGTAATGTCTTTTACGCGCCCCCACGTACACGACGGCTGGTAAATAAATAATGCGGGATTGGAAAGGCGAAAGGGGTGGCCGCGAGCTGCCCGGTCAGGAGTTGGGCGGCAGTGAAAGGAGTAAGCCGGCCCGTGAAAGAGAATCAATTCGATTCGTACCCATTCCTTTCTCCACCTCACCCTTTTCGCCACCCCGGATATCTTTTCCTCGCGCCGCCTCACGACGGTCGTTTCTTTCCGGCCCTCGCAGCCGAGCTTCTCCTCGCCCTCCGCCTCGCGGCGCAACAAGTGCGCCCCGACTCGAATCTTTAAGAAAGCGGTCTCGTACCCCCGAGTTTCCGAGTTTCACCACCACCTCCACCCTTCACTATCTTCGCTACCAACTTCGGCTGCTCGATCCGCGCAGCTACCTAACACCGCCGTTTCACGACACAGTCGAGCGTTTTCCTTCTCGTCTTTCCCGATCTCTCCTTGCTTCTCTTTTCTCACCCCTCAGATATTCTTCATCCCTCGGCCGAGCCGCGACTACCGTCCGAATCACTCCACACTTTCTTTCCGTCTCTTTTCTCTTTGTTCTCTTTTTCTCTCCGTCTGTTACTCTCTCGTTTTTTCTGCTATTCTTCTCTCAAAAATGGCTTACGCTTCCGTTCACCCCTTTCTTTCATCCTCTCGTTGATTATGTCGTCTCTCGTTTCTCGTATTTCTCATCCGACACTATGTTTCACCTACGGAGGATGAAAGAGTACGACGAACAGACTCGACGAGCGAGGGTGGCGAAGACGACTGAAAGATAGACTTCGCGGCCCGATTAACACGAATCCGAGGCGCCGATTCGAGAACTTTTGCGGACACTTCGCAATCGTTGAAAAGAGTGCAATAAAAAGCTCTGCACACAATGGAGGAAATGTTAGAAATAGGAATAAACATTAAATTTTAAAAATAAAAATTCAGAATAAAAATTAAACGTAACGCACAATGAATACAAGTATAAGATATTACTACATTTTATATTTATTTATATTCACTATGCGTTACATTTAATTTTTATTCCAAATTTTCATTTTCAAAATTTAATTTTATTTATTCTTGTTAATATTTGTTAACCGAGATAATATATTAATGCAAACGAGAAACCTTACTACTTATTGTTTATCAAATCGTAGAAATGATTTGTAGCAGCGCTTAAAATAATTTTATTAAACAAATTGGATAAAAACAAAATTACAGATTCTAAATCATAAAATCGAAAAAAATTAAGAAATAATGCTTTTGCACCTCGTTTAGATTCAAGTGAAAGATTGAAGAAAGGCACCTTGGACGATTCTTTTGACGATTACAAATCGTGAAAATCTCAGGCGAAGAATTCTAAAATTTCTTTTTACGTGGCAGTATTTTTTTACCACTTTGTCAGATTGCCTGAATCATGATACTTAAATCCAGAAACAAAACGTACGATTCGGAAGCTACCGACGGGAGCGAGAAATTTAACGAATATCGGTGCAGGACACCGTAACTACACGGACATCTGCGATCCTGTCGAACGCGACGTTGGATCGTCATTCGATGAAACACGCTGAATTTATTGGCGGTTTAATGCCGCTCGGGACGTTTATAGGAGCGCAATAAATAAAGTCGAGCGCGCTATTACGAGTGACAGGAACGTTACCGAACGGCGAAGTGGCTGGGAACACTGTGTCGCAGAGACCAACGTGAAAACGCGAGCCCGACGCAGTCGACTGACATTTTTTCCCCCGACATAATTGCAACATGCCGCAATTAATACGGAAACGAACATCCCAACAAAAATGAGTTTTTTTATCTACGGCTTAATTAAATTCGAATTAATCCGACCGGTGCTGTTTTATATTACAGTTTTTTTAAAACACGATAACCGAATATAACTAAACGTATATTAAATTAAATAAATCTGCAAAATGACCGCCGCTCGATTGGAAAATAGATCGCCGATAATAATTCTATCCACTTAACCGTTAATTTCATCTTGGGCAAGATTGCAAGAAACTAAGTTAGGAGTGCTCGGCCATATCGCGATCCGGGAAGTGAATGTAACCTCCGAGGAAGCACGTTAACGTTGTCGTCTTCGATCTTCGAAGACGCGCAACTTCCCGAGAACGGCCCTTCCCGTCACGATGATCGACGAAGCGCCCGGGCGGATGTGCCGGTTTAACGATCAGGAAATTCGACGAAAAGGAAAGTTATTAATGGCTAAAGTTGGACGACGTTGGGAACGACGTGCGCTCGCGAGACGCGGGGCGGGACAACCCTCTCGATTACAAAGCGCGCGAACGAGAAGTAACTATACGGCAGTAGGGTAGGGTTACAAATTGCGCCTGAAAGTTGCGCCCCCGTTGCTCCAGCGGGGATAATGGATTCCGGAATAAACGAAACTGCCGCCGGGCCATAATTTAAGCGGATGCCGTGCCACGCGGCGGATCCGTCACGCGCTTTTCGGGCCGGGCTCGACATCGAGCGAGTTGCGAAGTGGCAGAAAATCAATCGGACACCCCGGGACACTTCGGGGCACCCCGCAAAACGAGAGAGAATTCGCGGCCGCCACCCGGGTAACCGTGTGCTCGTGTCGGAAGGGAGAGCGGCATCGTGTGTTCAGGAAAGGTAACGAATACGCCTGTAAGCGCCTGTAAAGCGAGCCGTTTCGCGGACAGCCGCAAAAATCGAGAAAAAAATACGATCGGCCTGCACGAATAGTTTTGCGCGAAACTGCGACGATTCGCATCGTGCGACCAATTGCAGCGTGCCCCAACAAGCGCGCTGCAATCAGATATTCAATTGCGTTGAAAAGTGATCGATATTAAAAATATGATCCAACATTTAGATTTAAAGTAAATATAAAATATTTTTAAATTTTAAATATTAATTTCTACCTATAATAATGTAATTAAAAATGCAGACTTTCTTGAAAAAAATTACAATATCACGTGGCGATTTTCCAGTCGATTGCGAATAACCGTCTTTCCTTATCTCTAGTTATCTTTACCCATATAATTTATGGTCTCTTCTTAACAAAGTAATTAGAGTTTAATGATATAATGCCTCGTAAATAACGACATCTTGGAATTTGCATAAAACGCGCCTCGCGTTTATCTCCGCGGTGAGAAAGAAACTCTCTCGCGCACGGTAATCGCAAATTAGTCGAATTTCGTTTACGAAATGGTACGGGGCATGTTGCGAACGCGTGCATTTGAATTGTAGAAAGCAATAATAATAGACCGGCACATTTATTTCCGTACGAAAGCAGTCATATGCGCGCAGCCATGACGCGGACTACACGTACACGGCTTCGCACGCGCGTCACACGCACGTGCGGCACGCATTCTCGTGACACTGTTAAATTTTAACAGTGATCTAAAATAGCCGTATCGCATTCGCCATCGTAGGAAAGTAATCATATAATTCCCGGTGCTTTATCATTATGACAGCTTTTACGCCGAACACGAACACGAACTCGTGATTTCTCGAGATATAACATAAATTTATATATTCAAAATCATTCCTATTAATTAATAATAAGAACCAATATAAATTACCATTGCGCTCCGCAATTTCTCGTCTTCTATCTCACGTAATATCCGTAACGCAGTATATTCCAACGTAATTAATTGGCAACGTAAGGGCATGGCGATTCTTCTTCCACAGGCCACCATCTCGCGTTTCGAGGATTCATTAAATTCCACCGTCGAAGCCGAACCCGACGATTTAGAGCCAAAGAAATTGATTTTTAAAGAGCGCAACCGAATTACCATAACGAGCGCGCGCGAGACGGCGCTCGGATCATTTGCATGGGCACGGCCCATCGGATTGAATTGGATTCGCCCAGCAGCGCACCAGAGGTACAACCAACCCTCTCATGTTCTTACTTACCGCGAACAAGGATGAGGATGCTGAACAGCAGCGCGGTGCTGAACGGCCAACCGGCCATCCTGGCGTGGAGCGTTACGTCGATTCAGCTTCCTCCTGAAACAATACAAGCGTGCCCAATCAATCAACCTGCCTGCTATCCCAGAGCCAACTTCGATCTCTACCCCTCTCTCTCCCTATCTCGCTCTCTCTTTCTATCTCTCTTTCTCCGTCTCTCTTTCTCTCATTCCGCATCCCTTTTGTCCTTCAACGCAAAACCGTTGTCTGTCCCCCAGCCTCGCCGCATGCGAGCCTTGTCCTCCTACCTTTCGATTCCTCCTCAACCCCCATCCTCTTTCCTGGCAGACTGCCCGTTCCACGTCCAACCTCGTCCTCGTCCAACCGATCCCCCTTCCCACCGTTGGTACCAGCCAACCCCCATCCCACCTGCACGCCAATCCTCTACGTCCCGTATCGGTAATTTTTTTTCTCCCTCTCGAATCCGTGCCTGGGGGCTTGTCCGCTCAATGAAAGTCCTCCCAGACGGTGCGCGTCGAGCGACGTACATAATCGTGAAACATGCGATGCGTGCCACACCGGCTTGGCACTTGGAGTATCGGAAATGCCCTCTCTCGCGTTTGCGCGTTGTTTTTTTTTTTTTTTTGCCGTTCGATGCGAGCCGCGAAGGTCCTCGACCTCACCGAGGTCCTTGAACAATCTCGCTGGAGATATTAGAATTTGGTATAGCAACAATAATTTATTTAATACAAACAGTCCTCTCTAATATGAAAACGGAAATTAATTGACTAGAGAATAGAAAAGGCAAATAAAATAAAGAAAAATCTGTATCTTAAAACTCAACCAAGGATTCCTTAAAAATTCTTAAAGCGAAAACAATTTATAAAATATTCAAACTTACAGAATATCCTCACGGAAAGAAGAAATAAAAAAATTTCATACTACGAAAAAGTGTTAAGATTTTTTTATACACAAGCACAAGATTTATAAAGTCACCCTTTAAACAGACGCTTTCAACCGCTTGCGAGAGAAAAAGAGAGAAATTCGGAACGCGCATTGTAAGCGACAGCTACAGGAGATAAATGCTACGTAAGACATATTGATATCTGTTGAACGGGGCATCAATCTACGATCGCGAAAGTGCAAGTTACTCGATGCCAAGGCGTTCATCTCTGCATATTGAGTAACGTTCTTTTCGTGGAGATAAAAATGCTCGCTTTTTTTTATTATGTCCTTTACGGACTTCATTCAAAGAGACCGAATCTGGAGCATTCGATTCGCTTCACGGCACCGCGGTTGCATCATGGCAAAGCCAAAGGGTGACCCACACAACCCTTATGTACTTCGTTCGCGTGCATACACGTGCATTCGCGAGGATGCGGTTCTTCTACGTTCTTGTCTGCTGTTATTTCTTGAATATTTCTCGAGCACATAGCAAGACGGGTATAAAAAAGGTACACTTGCATTCCACTTAATGGAAAGGGAAGGCACTAATTATAAAATAACGTTCCCTCAAATAAGAATATCTCAACTAATTTATCGCTCTTGCGTTTCTCTCGCAATTAATTGTAACTTGTTAATATCATCCTATAAGTGATATATAATATAATAACTATATAAATGATGTAAAAATTATTCGTATGTGTGTGCGCGCGCGCACGCGCGCTTCAAAAGTACTTAAACATTTCTTGGATTACCACAGGCAAAAGGTTAAGTTAAAATTTTAAAGATTTCTAAACGATAGAAAAAAAATATTTATATATATATGCTGAAAGTTACGCATATCCTGAAAGAACTGAGCGAAATATTCATGCTTCTCCTCTGTTGTACGAAATTGTCCTTATTCGAACTTCGCCGACGAAACAAACCATCAGAACGCAATTCTGTCTCGTTCACAATTAAGTTTACGAACGAGATCGAGTGTCCGACGTACCATTTTCTCACGGCAAGACGTGAAAATCGGATAGAAATGTCGAACGAAAAAACAGACGAGGAAGAATCGATCGATCGAATTGGACTTAATAATACACAAAGGCTATGACCCAGTTATTTTCAAGCAAAATGTCGAAGCTGTCAAAGATACTTGAACAAGAACACGAAAAAAATGAAGAAATAATATTGCAGACTTGCAGATGCCGAATTACATTAATATTGATTACAATTACAATTCGAACAGACTGAATCGAAAGAATACTCTATTTCATTTGTCTTTTATTAAGAAAAATATTTTTACTGGTTTTCGATGAAGAGAGTTAATCTGGTCCAAAAGTCGAATCAAAAACCGCTAATCTTCGCGGCGTAATCTTCTAAAAGTTCTACGGATATTATCCGTGGGATTATAAAATTCTATCACATCGGTGCAGCAGTTTTGCGCCGTTCCGCGCGCGAGCTCCGAAGCTAATTAACGCGTTACGGTTTGCGTGAGCGTGTAACGCGATATTAAATGTAACGCCGCGGTGGCGTTCATGTTTAAAGGCGCGGTAACGTGGATGGGGAATTAGGTGCACGTGCCCGAATGCGAGAGGAGTACGACTAGTGTATAATTCACGCGGCGGCGGTAACAAAACGGCATCGTAAACTCGCCCTTACTAAATCACTTGCTCGGTCCCGGCGGGGATTCTGGAGAATATTCTATAAGGATTAGGTGCGATGAATCAAATTGCGGTGGCGAGCACGTCGAACGAATAATCGCGAAAATATCGACTGCTCGTGGTGCGTTCCGATTTGCGCGGGTGCACGACCCCGACTACCTCACGTATCTCCTTTGTGAGATTATTCATGAATAATACAGTATTTCCGTGCCGCGAACCAGATGCAGATTCCGTCTTCGTAAAGCCGCGGCGAATTCGCGGATTTACGACTTGTTTTATAACTTTGAAGAATCCCCTCCCCCCTCCACCCCGCCCCCCGTCGAAATTGTCGCGAGATTATAGCCCGCGATTCGCGAGCATTAATAGCCTATCCGAAAACTAAGAATTAAAGTACGATAGGATACGTATACGTATTTTCACTAATGTTGAGAAAATATTTTAATTGTTGACGGCGGGCTATGTACACGCCGCGAGTTTAGAGAAATAATTACGGAAATAGTCAATGTCGAGGGCCGCAAAGTTAATTCCAAACTTTCTAACATACCACGATCCGTGCTATTAAAACATTTCTCGGTAACTCTGCACGAGCGATTTACAGTGCGGTGTAAAATAAGTTTGCAGCCGAGATAGAGATATGTAACAGACTAACTAAATAGGAATTTTCTCGTCAGAATTTTCATCGTCCCGCGCGTATCTGTAAACAATGGCATGACGCGAGAAGTATGGATCATTAGCGCTCGCCTATCAAAAATATTCCTTTCACGTATCTGGTTCGCATTAAGTCAGGTTCAAAGGTCTCTCGGCGTCTCGCACGGGTGTATTCATTCGCCATCATGACGACGGAATTAATATCAGCCGGCTTAATGGAAGGGAGGAAACAACGCAATGCCGCGACGACGAACAACAACGAAAAAGACGACGGTGCCACGGCGATGGTTTTATCCCATCCCGACGACGCCATCACCATCACGCCATCGCCGACATCAAGAGTGTATTCTTCCACCCGGCGACTCGTCGCTTCTAAGTTCTTATTCTCAGCTCCTCTCGCTTCCACCATCCTCGGCTCCTTCTTCGCCGCCGCGTTCATTCATCTATCCACGTCCTCCTTTCGCGTCGACGACGCTTTTTCTCTCGCGCGCCCTACCATCGCTCGAGGTGTCTTACGTGCAACGTGGATCGCAACGACACAATATTGGACCTTTGCATCGTAAGAAATTACGAGGATTATAACGGTCGCAAGACCGTCTGCGTCACCGGGAAAGCGACAGACGGATGGCTCGAAGACAAACGACGAGGGATTTTATTGTCTCCTCGGAGCGCCGGTCGGATCAGTGGTACAAGTCAATAATAATGAATAGCAACTTTCAGAAAATATGGAAGACAATCGTTTCGGCGTAGTATAACTTTTGCGTCAATGGCAACGATACCTTCGACTCTTATATAAATATACTATTGCAACGTTGTTCGTGATTTCGACTTTTAACTCTTCTTTGGCGGCCGCTTGCATCGGAAGCTCGGAGTATCGTGTCGGAGTATTTAGCATACGTATGAGAGCACGTGTGAGGCTTTCCCAGGTCAATTTACCGGCAAGGTTGAATTGCAGAGGCGGAAAGAACATTTTGAGAAATTATTGTTGGCAAGGATCTTAATTCATCAGGCGGACATGAACAAGCAAAAATTCCATGACGCTGCCGAAACGTGTGGAACTTCCGTGGGCCGCACCAGCTGCCGCGCCGCGAGAATTCTCTCTGTCCCGCCTCTCTCATATTCCTCCCCCTGTTCTAGCTCGCGTAAACGGCGTACTAAGACCCTCGGCATAGTAATTCCACATTTCATTCCGCGCGTCAGGAAAATTTCTGCTACACCTCGCGAGCCATAAATCTTGCAACGTTCGCGGTTCGCGAAGGGATATTAATTAATTCGCGCGAATCATATATGCTCTAGAACACGGCGAAATATTCCCATACATCGGGGCATGCCAAATACACTAAAGTAATTACCCCGTCGGAGAGGGGGAAGGGAGCGTGGAAACGAGAGGAAGGACTAGAACTATTATCCCGACAGAATTAATCGTAAATGCGCGAATTAAATGAGCGCCCGCTATGAAATTGCCATTAAATGACGCCGCGTGTAACAATGAACAGTCGGGTGGATATTTATTATTTGTCGTTGCCGTTGCCGTTGTCGTTGTCTGCGTAATAGTAAATTATTAATGCATAATTCTGCCAATTGCGGATGCAGCGAGCCGATACACGCCAATGATGGTCTGACACAAATTGAAATTTCGGTCTCGCAATTAGCATGTCGTGGGAGGAATTCACGATCGATAAACCTAAATTGTTGTCATTTCTTTTACAAAAAATTTCCAATGTAAGTTTTCAATGTAAGTTTTCAACGTTGTAGTTTTCAACGATTATTATAAACTGTAGTTAAATCTGTTTCAACTTGATAGCATTTATTTACGAGATTTGTTCAAAATTGCAAAATTGCTTCAAACATTACACTCAT